GACAGCCCGGGATGGTGAGACGTTTCTGCCCAAAGGCACACAAGCTTGGGTTTGTCTCAGTGACCGCTGCACCGGCTGTGGGATCAGCACACGGAAAACCGTACTCTTAACCCATAAAACCGAGGGCAGGAGCGAGGGACAAAGACCGGGTCACGCCACGGCATCGCCACCCACCGTCGTCCAGTGTTCGCTCGTTGGTCCAGTTGGTTCTCTCCTTCACGTTTTTGAAGTGGGGGTGCTTCTCGCTCAGCCCAGTGTCAAAAACAGCAACCCTCACGTTAGCGCCTGATTCCAAAACACAAGCAAGCATGATCGTGTTTGGACGAAGCATCTTTTTGGATTTTGTCCATAAAATCTACTCCTCCTGGGGACTCTGAGAGAATGACCTGTCACAGAGGCCCAGAGCCCGCCCTGCGCGAGTCAGGTCAGGCGCTCCAGGGAAACCGGTTGAGCCAAGACGAGGAAAAGGGGATGCTGGGGGGAGGGGGGAGGGGGGATACCATTCATCTGCGGCTAACAAGACTCGAGGTTCTCGGGGCGTGTCTGGGGACACCCCTCAACTGTCTCCAGGGCTCCGTCCTCCACAAAGGAGTGGTTTCCCCCGGGTCTCCATGCCCTCATCTCCTCAGAGAGGCCACGGAGAACGAAGGCCACCAACAGGGAACACACGCTCAGGAGAGGGGACACTACTCCCAGGCCTTCACGGACGCTGCTCGCTAATGACCTCTGACACGGGGGCTGCCGGAGGCAAGCGGGGACGATCACATTTTAAGGAAAAGCACTATAATGTGCACTTGGCTATACTTCGGACACGGGCCAAAAGCTGTGGGCACGGATGTTGAGACGGATACTGCCAGATCAAGAAATTCTAGAGACTAAGTAAAAAATATAGGACCTCCGTGGTATTTAACAGCTAAGAGACGTCAGGAAGGTGGGGTCTTTCCGGTGTGAGAGCTGCGTTTACGTATGGGCGTTACGTGGAGCAATCGATCACACGGGAGATAACCGACACCTACTGCTTGCGTCTGAATGATGCACACGTTATCTCGAAAACCACTTGGCTTAGGGGGACAGAAAATGCTCTTCTGATTAGAGAGAATCTGTTCTGTGAAGAATTCTCATCCTAAAAGGAGAAAACCACGAGGTGACACTCACTTAATAAAAGGTCAGTCCACCAGGCATGAGCGTCTAAGTGTCTAGGATATTCTGCAGGGCGGGAGCTGAGGAAATCAAGGGAGACATAAGGGTCTCCGAGGCTGGGGGGACACGGGGAAGGACCCCGAGATCGGCATGACAGATGGGGGCTGGAGAAACTTCTGTCTGGGTCAGGGTACGAGCCCCACAGTAGTTAGGAGAGGAGTTTTCTGCCGTGATCCATCAGTGAGGAAAAGCCACACTGGTTGGGAGTTTTAGTTCCCAGGAAGTGGTCCCCAGTGCCATAGGCAGCCTGTACCCCGTGGAGCAGACAGTACAGAAACGATACAGGAAAGATGGACAGAGCGGCCACAGAGACAGACGCCCGCGCAGCAGAGGGCAGAGGGGGCAGCGGCGGGGGGCAGGCGCGGGGACGGAGGCACCCACCTGTGTAGCCCATCTGCCACAGCACGTCCGCCTGCAGGGTCTGGGCCACCTGGCGCGGGATGGCCCTCAGCAGCCGCCGGCTCGAATGCCTTCCCGTGGCGTGCCAGAACCCGGAGCCCAGGGACAGGCTGGCTCTGCGCAGGGGCCGGGACGACTGCCACTTGCGGCTCCACCGGGTCTCGTTACAGGGTGCTGCGGGGTCGGCGAGAGCCAAGGGGACAGGGGTCAGAAAAGGAGCCGCTCGGCAGCGACCCGGCAGCCAGGAGGGAAAGAGGACGACCGCCCCTGGACGGCCCGGGTGGCGGAGGGGTGGTCTCTCCCTGCGGCTGCACCGACGGGACGTCGGTCCGTGATCCTTATTCTCCCCAAACAGTCCTCTGCCCGAGATTTTCTAACTGACGGAAGGCACAGCGGGGCCGATAAAATAACGTTTAAAGAAATAAAAGTCCATCACGACTAAAACTGGAAAAATAAGATTTGCCTGATTTTTTCCTCAGCAGCTGGTTCTCATTGAACCAGAAGGTTTAAAACAAACAAACAAAAAAAAAAAAAAAAAAAAAAAAAAAACAAGAAAATGGCCACTGGCCACTGACCACTGACCACTGGTGATGGGTCCCAGCACTGGGCTTCTGGGACAACAACAGACACGCGAGCCCATCAGGCCGGTCTCTGGTCAAACATCAGTAGGACCTTTTCCCAAGTGTATACTGCTCCCGACCCTCAGCGTGCCGACCAGAGTGTCCCCAGTGTCCCCTTTCAAACAGCAAAACCAGAAAGGAGTCGGGGGGTTTCTGAGGACGATGAGCTGAGTCGTATCTGGATTTTGCCGGTGGACAGCCGGCTGCACACTTACCAACGCCTGCCAACCTGTCCGCTGAAAACCATGAATTTCACTATCTGTAAATACTTTGTTGAAGATGGAAGAAAAAAGCAAAAGAAACACCACGAAAGCCATCCTTACCTTTCAGGACCCCGGTACCATGAAGAAAAATTGCATCTCGAATCAGTTTTCAGAAGAGCACATCCACACTACCACTGAAGTTTTTGTGTTTTTTTCAAACGTTTATTTAAGAGAGAGAGAGAATGTGGGCGGGGGGGGGAGAGGAGCAGAGAGAAAGGGAGAGAGAGAATCCCAAGCAGGCTCTGCGCTGTCAGCACAGAGCCCAACGTGGGACACGAGCCCACCAACTGTGAGATGATGACCTGGGCTGGAATCGAGCTGGGACGCTTAACCGACAGAGCCACCCAGGCGTCCCTCAAGTTCTGTCTCTATAGCAAACGACTCCTTCTTATTCCTGTCTCATCAGGCTCCCCCATGAAAGTGTAGGGAGCCAGAAAAACATATAATCTTGTCAATCCCATTAAGTAATTCTTTGCACAGAGCAACGGAAATTATTCCGCACTCGACGCGCCACGTGACTCTGCTCTCGGAGCCCACAGCGTGGGGCCACACCGGGGGTGCCGACAGCAGAGCGGTGCCGTCTACACGATGCAGACCAGACCCCCACCTAGGCAATGAGCTCGGCTCCGGGCTTCCCTGTGGAAGAGCAATTTATTAGGAGAACCGGACAGTACTGGAAGGAAAGCAGTTAAAAGGGTGAGTGCACTTGAACCCGCATCACTGCAGGGACCGCTGACGGATCTGGGGAGGAGAATCTGCCAAGGGCAGCCCCGTGGACTCTTCGCAGTATAAGCACTGCCGTGTGGGAAACAGGATAGCTCTATCTTACAGCCAGGGACAGAGCCAGGGATGGGATCCAGGGTGGGACACGTTCCAGCCAAAATAAAGCAGAGCCTCTGAACAACAGAGCCAGAGAAATAAGCAGCATTTCATGTCTATTTACATCCTGCACATGCTGCTAAAGCTCTCACACGTGCACGATTTTCCTTCATTTCTGTGAGAACCCTAGGAGACAGGGGGCCTTTCTTCCGTCTGCTGGACGAGAAGAGTGGAAGCTGGAAGGAAAGGTGCTTCCCACACAAGGCAGCAGATGACGACAGGACCGGCCCGTGAGGCGCGTGGTTCCCGCTCGCGCTGGCAAGGGCCACACCTGACGACCAGGGCGGAGGGCGCACGGAAGGGAACCCGACCCTGAGATTCTATGACTGCTATGCTTAAATTAGAAATTTCCACGTTTCTTGAAACGTTCTGGAGCTGTCTACGCTAAAAAGGTACAATGCACGTATCTGGCTAACTGTACGAGGTTTGCTTTGTTTTTATCTTCCTGAATTGTTTTGAGGTTTTAAAGAGAAAAGGCATTACAAAACATCTGGACCGGTACAAAGAGCTTGAGGAAGTGAGACCCCCGAACTATGCAGCCGCCCTGAGAGCCGGCTTGTCCCGCTACGTGCACATGAGCTTGGCTCCCCCAACGCCTGGTGCTGTTTCTAAACCTCAGTGGCTCTCGGGCCTAGCACCTGACGGACAAAGGGAGAAAAGCAAAATTTTATTTCCTTCCTTCCCATGAAAGAAATGACAGTAAATGATACCGGAACTCACGATTTGTTACCCTAGTTTATGACAAATGGGAAAAAAACTTTTCTTTGGTAATAAGTAAGCTTTGGAAAACACTATGTAATAAATAAGCAATTCAGTATTGAAGAACAAACTCTATCTTGACAAGCCCAAGTGACCGACAAAGGGGAAGGAGTAAGCCCTCGAGCTGAAAGGACAATAATCAAACTGCTGCCGTCCTCACACCCGCAGAGCTGAGGGCTCAAAGGAGGGCCAGCTAACCTGGGCAAGGTCAGGAGGTGCTCAGAAAAACAAAGTGAAACCCAGAGAAAGGATGTTTTACAAGATTCCTTAAAAACAAACACACAAGGGTGCCTGGGTGGCTCAGCTGGTTAAGCATCTGACTCTTGATTTCGGCTCAGGTCACAGTCTTGCGGTTTGTGAGTTCAAGCTCCGCATCGGGCTCTGCACTAACGGTGCGGATCCTGCGTGGGATTCTCTCTCCCTCTCTCTACGCCCATCCCTGCCTCTCAAACCAACCAACCAAAAAAAACCCAACTTAAAAAAACCCCACACCGACAGAAGCACATCACAACCCAAGAGGAGAGTCAAAGACACCGTCTCCCACTTCAGGACGGAGGGACGCAGGGCCTCAGGTCTGCAGGTGCCGAGGGGCGCCGGGTGAAAATCCCTTCCAGCAGCAGCAAGGACCACTATCGTCCTCCGCTGAAAACTGGCAGATTTCTTCCCACCAGAACAGCATGAAGCCTGTTTTTCGTTTTTTAAATTCCTGGCAAGAAGACATTCACAACTGACAAAACTAGATGAAGGGACTCGGGTATCGAACCATTTCTCCGCTATTCTGCCAGTGTGGAACGGTGCACGGGAAGGTCAGGGGCAGGGTGGTGGGGCGCATCATCTGTGAAAATGCACGTTCTCTCTCTGAACCCACGTGAGGCAGAAACCGACAGACGAGGTCATAATACTCACACTCCGCGTACTTGAGCGAACGAAAGACTTTCCGCTGGGGTGTCACCCGTTTGATGTTGGGATGATCTTCAAGGGTTAGCAGCCCCGCTTTCTGTTTTTCTTTTATCTGAATCACCTCAAAATCACTAGGGTAGTCACTGGATGGGTTGTTTCGAGGAATGATTCTCCAGTTGTCTATTTCACTGCTCTTCAGGGCGCTTGAAATAAAAGAATTTCTAGCTTTGGCTGTGAAGTATCCATTGAAAGCCACAATATATTCTGAAATCAAGGACCACAAATAAAAATGAGAATTTACGGCCATGTATTACAATGGAAGATTTGTAGGTAGGCTACCATTTCTCAGGTAAAAGAAAACTTTACAGATCCCAAAACCTACGGTACGAGCAAGACTGAAAGCCTGGTTTAAATGCCCTGGATGGCAGCTTCCGGAGCCCTGAGTTAAAACGATCTGTACGAATCCCCTGACATCACACAAAATTGGATACCTGTGCTATTTTTCAAAAAGCGAATATTAACCCAAGTTCAAACATGTGGCAAAGAGATGCGTGTAAGTTTCTGGAATACAAAAAAGGGATTCAGAGATAAAGGTTCAGTTTTATTTTACTGAAACAGTAACAAAATTTCAAGTGGATTCTAGCAGACTACTGGTTTGTTCACATCTGGCCTCCCCACACAAGCAGTCAGCACCTCCCAACTCCCCACCCTCAGCAGCTACAACGGCATCTGTTCCCAAGAATCAGGTTTTAGGGAACTAATTCCGAACACCAATCTCCTTGCCTCGCAGAAACTACCTATATTGGGAAAGCAAATTTCAGTAGCGCGAACATCCAAGCGCTGTGAGCTCACCTCATTTAAAATTACTGTGGAAAAGAGGGAAAGGTCTTTTTTGACAAAAGCCAATGTTTGAAATTAAGTTTAAAAAAAACGGGGGGGGGGGGCTAACATTTAAAACCTCATTACCATATTCCACGACCGTTGAGGAGAATTCCACCTTCAAAGTCAGGTGGGAACAGCCAGGGCACGGGGCCTTTTCAGAAGCCTTCTTCTCCAGTCTGTCACCCAGATGTCTCTTGCCACAGAGCAAAACCACTAGCAGAAGCAGCCAGATGTTGACAAGCTTCATGGTCATAAGTGAATATGGTCATAAAACCTCATATATTCAAATCGCACTTTTTTCTTCCTGGATTATTAGTCAATTTTGGTCTCGGCGAAGAGCCGAAACATCATTGATCGGCCGTTTTACAGTCTTGTCCGACGTAAATAAAAGTTAAATTTCATGGCCTTTTGTGGTTTGGCCTGAAAAGAGGCTTTCATTTCTTTCTTCGTTTCTTCTCCATCTTGGGCCTCAGGCGCCTCTCACTGCGGCCCAGACAAGTGAGTCCTACACGCCATCTGCAGCACAGAACCACAGTCGAGCGGGCGGCGGTCACTCGGGGCGCCCTGGCGGCCTGCAAAACACAGCGAGCCGGGCGGGGGCCAGGGCCCAAAGGTGCCCAGTGAGGACGCGAGACAGACGTGCACGGGCGCGCGACACCTTACCGTTTCTTTCTTTAGTTACTGCTCACTTCTTCCCGGGGAAAAGGAGACTGAAGACGGCATCAAAGATAAGAAAGGACACGGAGAAGAAGGGGCATGGCGGGCAAGGCCAGGAACACTGCCCACCCTCGCGGCCAGATGGGAGGAGGGACCCCACTCCTGCCGCAGACCATCCTCCTCACTCGCGGCCCGTCCTCCCCGGGCTCCTCCCCAAGCCCCTACATTTCTCCAACTCTTCAGGCAGGAGCGTGGTATACAGCCTAACCTTCTACTGTAAAGTAACACCTAAGAACAAAATACGAGTCAAACACTTGCCACTGTCTTTTAAAAAACTATGCTGCAAAGTTACTTAAATGACACCTTTCTTCTGCCAAGTCTATGAAGAGAACACAGAAGGGTTTCCACAGTCACTGAATTTATTTTACATGAAGCCTCACCTTGAAGAAATCTAAGCTACTAAATAGGTTATAAAACCAGATCACCTCTTTACTGGAAAATGATACAGGAGGACAGCTTGTGGGAGAAAGTGCTGCCAGAGAAAAGTGTCATCGGAGTGTTAAATTTCACGCAGGCACAGATCCCTTCCCAATACCTGAATGGCAGGAGAAATGATCATTCTTCACAACGAAATATGGAGCAGCAGTAAAACATACATACACACACACACACACACACACACACAGCGATAGCATGCCCAGAAAAATCCCACTGAGTTTTCACTGATCCCACCAGAAACATAAATAATCCAGCAAGGGGAACACAAATCAACGAAATAAGACAGGCCTCACACTGCTACCTGTTTCTAAACACACACACACACACACACACACTTAGGACCAGGAGTCAGCCCCCTTTAAAGAGAGGTACCAAATTATTAAAACCCATTCCTCAGGCAGAAATCTGGTGTTTTAGAGCAACAAGGACTTTGTGGTTTCTGGAACTATTTGTATGTGCATCTATACACAGGAAAATACTCATAAAGCTAGAGTATCTAAAGAAGTTTGGAAAGTTTAATATTTAGGATTTCACTGCTGTCACAACACACGATCCTGAAAAGCAGGCCTTCTCTGGCCCTGGAGACTGTGGCTGGTTGAACAGAGCTCGTCAAATGGAAATGAAATTTTATAAGTTATTTCCATATCAACACGAAGAACAACAATGTGAATGCCAACCACAAGAAAAAAGAAATTAAAACCAAAGATCAGAACAGAAAGACCAAAGGAAAGCAACAGGGGACACCAAATAAGCCACAATCCACTTGGGAGTGAGCCCCAATTTTTATTTACACTTGACACATGCAGTGATGAGATATCACAGAATACAATTACATGAAGCATATACCTCACTTTATTACAGTATTACTGGTCAAAGAAGACAGAGCTCATCACTGGTACTAAGAGTTCTCATGTTATATTAAATGAACTTATAGTGAAAAAGATTTAAATAGGTCTCTCATTCAATTAAGGCAAGTTTTAAAAAAAAAAACAAAAGAAATCCCTTCACGTCTCCTGCCTCGAGCCAAACAATCTAAGACGTATTTGGACCACACATTACAAATATTAGCAAGCGATACTAGTGAGAAAACCTTAGACCTAACTGTGCCAGAGCCACTTTAATTAAACCTGATCCAAAATAATTCGACCACAGGTACAGACAGCGACCTCACACCATCTAGCCCACATCGAAGAGATGGCTGATGTTCTTGTACAAGTGAGAGAGGCGACTGACTTTAAAAGACAGAGAAACGGGAAGAAAAGGTTAAAGGGGTTTTAAACTTTAAAAACGCCTAAGGTAATAGGCTCTCTCCCAAACAGAAAAATTAAACTTTTTAGGTTCTGGAAAATGGGACACCGCAGTATCCCTAAGCTGTTCTGCCTATGTTTGCCCAGGACACCATACAATTTCGTATCGTGCTCTCCAAGTGTCCGGTGTGGCCCCGCAGGGAGGCCAGAGATGAACGCCAAGGGCTAAGCAAAGCGCGGGCCACCACCGCAGGAGCATGCACGCGCGGGGCCACGACACCGCACCGAGACTCATTCTGGGTCTGACGGGAGGCCTCTGCTGACGAGGTGGAGGGCAGCGGGCTCTGGCAGAGCCGGGGCTGGTAGGGCTGGAAGTCATGGAAACGGGAGGGGAGCGGGGCAGCCGGAACAAGCTACTACGTCACAGACCGGGAGCACACGGGGCGTGCCGAGCACCCGCAAGTTCCCCGCACGGGAGGGAGGCTCCGCGACACCAACCTGGAGACTCAAGGCCGGCGGGGAGCGGGCCCCGCCAGCAGGCGCGGGCCCGGAGCAGACCGTGCAGCAGGCACTGGGAGGAAGGTGTGCGGAGGGAGAATGGAGCCCCGCGGGGCTGCCGGGCGGCTCGGCTCAGCGGTCCGACTCCCACACCGCACACGGCCGGGCTCCGAGCGGGTGGCAGGACCAGGGCAGCAAACAAAACCCAACGGAAACCCCGACCTCAGGGCACTGACCCAGCGCGCGTGTGCTTGTGTGTGTGTGTGTGTGTGTGTGTGTGTGTGTGTGTGTGTGTGTGTGTGTGTGTGTGTGTGTGTAGGTGTGGGGGGGGGGATACACAAGTAACACATGTGGTATCTAGCCAGTGACATCTACCTCTATTGTGAGAAGAGGAAAAAAGGGTGAAGGGGAACAGGACGGTGGGGATGGGGCGCCTTGCGCGCCAGAATCTCAGTCTCATAAAGTCTCACTCCAGTCAGGAAGGAGCTCCTGTAAAAGGCTTCTAAGGGGAGACCAGAGGGGAAGTGAGCCACCCTGAAAACAGTAGAAACAAGAGATGCAAGAGAGCCTGGTAGTTTATTAATGAGGGAAAAGCAGAAGACCAAGTGGCAGGGGGGGGGAAGTCAGGAGAAGGGGGAGGCAGGACAGGTGATGACAGAAGGGAAACAGACAGGGAAGAGCCTGTAAAGCCATAACCCGTGTAACCAGGAGAAACATAGAATGTGATGAAAGGCTCTGGGCAGAACAGGAAGGCGGGGCGATGAACAGGTTACAGACGTGTCGTTAGTGAGAAGCCCAGTCTACTGACAACAAATAAATGATAGAGGCGTTATACCAAGGAGCAATGAAGGCATGAATGAGAACTCTTCACAATATTAAACACAGACGGCATCTGCCCCTGACCCCGAGAGGCAGAAGGACAGCACGCACGCAGGAAAAGCTGGCCCGAAACCTGGCGAGGCGGCGGGAACTCTGAACATGAAAATTAGGGTGAGCACTAGCAGTGGGGAAGCATGGCTAAGGGCAGAAGGGAAGAGGAGGTCTGAACACCTAGAGAGCCTGGTTGGGGGGGGGGGGGGCAGGTTAAACGTCCGCCTCCTGATTTCAGCTCAGGTCATGAACTTGCGTTCATGGGTTCGAGCTCCGGACTGGGCTCTGTGCTGACAGCATTAAGTCTGCTCGAGGTTCTCTCTACCCCCCCTCTTTGCCCCTAACCTGTTCGCTCTCTCTCAAATAAACAAACATTTAAAAATAAATAAAAACAAAAATCCACCAAAATCTGTGAAAAAGAATTTCCATGATGAAGGATAGTCAAATGAGAAGAGACTGCTGGTTTAACAATTTAAAGGTCACTGATTCCTTCCACAAAAGGGCCACACTAGTGAACAGCAGCCTGCTCCAGCCTCCAAACCCACCGGTGGCTGGAAGGAAGACACCCTCAAGTAGAAAAATCCCATGGAGATAATGGTAGGGTTGGAAATGATGGCAGGAGACCCCTCCCAGTTTTGTTTGGATATGGCTGACTTGCTTCTATTCTTTGAAGGTTGTTTGTTTATTTTGAGAGAGGTCAAGAGAGTGAGTAGGGGAGGGAAGAGAGAATCCCAAGCAGGCTCCACACTGACAGCGCTGGGCCCAAGGTAGGGCTTGAACGCACCAACCATTGAGATCATGACCTGAGCCGAAACCGAGAGTCGGACACTGAACTGACTGAGCCACCCAGGCACCTCTAATGGCTAGGTGCTAAGAAAACACTCCTTTGAAAGACCGATGGCCCATAAAAATTATGACACTGACACTGAAGTTTATGGTTCCCCAACCCTAGAATAAGAAGGCTTCAAAATATAAGTTTCCTTGGAGGAAAACAAAAATGCCACTGGGGGTACAGAGGCTGGTGAACAATGGCATGGGGCACTGGGCCCTTGCCTATTGGTGTTAAAGATACCGGTCCCCAATGACTGCTCCACGAGGCCTTCGAAGGCACAGGCTGCACCTTCCTCGTCTAAAACATCTACTCACCTGCGTCTACAATGGATCCCCCACCTCCACCCCCCGCCTCTCACTACAGAGCGCAAACCTGGTGAGCATTTTCCCCAAGACAGGCTCACCATCTAGCGGCAAGCAGGTAAGTAGCAGTAAGCACAGAGCCATGTAAATACAGACGCAGACTATACACACACGAAAAGCAACCTGTGTTTTTAAGTTTACGAGTGTGCAGGAGAAGGGCAGAGCGGGAGAGAGAGAATCCCAAAGCAGGGCTCAAACCCACGAACCGTGAGATCGGGACCTGAGCCAAAAGCAACAGACACTTTACTGACTGAGCCACCCAGGTGCTCAAGAAGAAACTAAC